TTAAAGGAATAACAATAAATCACAAAACAGTAAAGATTGAATTAATGGGTAATTCAGGATCATTTCAATAAGATGAGTTTCACTGGCTTAATTCGAGGCCTGAAGAGCAATAATGCAATTCAGAATTTTCAAAGATGGGCATTTAAAATTAACCTTAAAAACTAATCCTTTTTAAACACTGATATAACTTTTATTCTTCCAAATTACTAGTTTAATTGCAATTTCTAAAGCAATCAGGATGAGGAGATGCATAAATATGATTTCGACAATTTTCACCAGAAGATTTTGCCATCTGTGAGAAATCAAGAAATTACAGATACAGCAACCCTTTACATTTGTCAGCACCCACTGCTTCTGTATAGAAGGCATTGAACATAGCATTGGTGTGAAAACAAGTTACCAAATTATCCTTTAAGAGAAAAGATTAAAAAATAAAGCTGAAAATGCAACGAATAGAAGAGCATTGAGAACTATTTCCCCTGCATTAGCTGTAGAGAAAAGGGAAGGGAAGGTAAAATTCCTTTTTTTTCCTTTGTATATAGTTCTGACTTTAGATTACTTAATCATACCTGCTCTTTGTGATCATAACTATGATTTATAGCTAGCCACTCACTGCTGAATAGAACAGATGAGAAATGATTCTGGTCCTTTTTTTGACTAGGGACAGTCAGCTACAAATATGATACAAAAAGACAACAGTTTTTTTAAAGTTTATTTTGTATTCCAATAAATATATATTATATATAATGAATATGTAAGTATATATTCATTCCTTAAATAAGAAAAATTAACCCTTGTTTCCTGCAGGAAGCAGGATATTTTGTAGTTTCAGACTTTGTGTTATTTATTATAATTCTCAGTCTTTCTGTAAGTATTTTTTTTAAAAAGAGAGATCTCAGGTGTTTAAAGCAGTTATTTGCCTACACAGGACATGTAAAATGGTGTTCTATCTGACTTCCTGAAACTATGAAATGACAAAAAGAAAATCCTTTGAAGCAAAGCTGTAACTCCCTGAGAAATTCAGTATGGTGAACAGACCTGGCCTTAACGAATTAAGTCCCTACAAGTTGAACTATGTGAAAGCAAGGAGGCTGTCTGCTGCCTCCGGTAGACATAGATATCTTGTAAAGAGATGCCTTGATAACTCTCCACCAGCCTCATCTGTCTCCTGATCACAACATCACTTGATCTTGTAGGATCAGTTCCGCCTCAGTAGACACAGCTCACCGTGCTGGAGTGGAACTGCTTTAAACACTAGACAAAAGCACACTGGACACTTTGCTGAAACTGCAAATGTAAACACTTTACTGGTTCTGATCCCACATTAAAAGAAAAAAAGGCTGGCACATTAACATACCCCAAGGACCCTACTTAACAGAATACTTGCTTTTGTGTTTTAAACCACAAGCATATACAGAAAAACATTAAAATCAGTGAAGGAATTAAAAATTTCACTAAGCTAGAGAAGCAGAAAACAGAAATAACTACAAGGAATAAACTTGCCTGAACAAAGAAAAACAGGATGAAAAACAACACACTTTTCTCTTAGCTGAAATCCATTCTCTCGCTCCCTTGCCTAAGCAAAAGCAAGTATTTATGTGCCCTATGTGCACATCACAAAACAAAAGTATTGGCCATATTGGCAACCTCATGCCTTTCCTACACTGATACTTTCAGCGTGAGTTTTTAGTTTGCATCGGAGAGATTTTTGTTGGCAGGGAAGAAGACAGGAAGAGGGAAAAAAAGGCCCCAACAGGTGTCTCGCAAAGGGAGGTAAGGTTAACTTAGGGATGCTAATTCTCCTTCACAACAGGCACCGTGTTTGAGCCAAAGCAGTAACTCTCACTTTCTTCTCTGCTCGTATGTCATTACTAGGGTCTCCTGCTGCCTCTCCTCAGTTCTTATCTCTCCAGCTAATCTTAGTCTTAATCTTTTTCTGTTACTACCAGAAAGATGAGAAAGATGGCTGTGGGCTACTGGCAACTGTACATAGTGACAATACAAACTGTCACTTGAAGTCTAGCATCATGATTTTATCTTCTGTTTTTCTAGGTGGTTTGAAACTCCGGTGAGACATCAGTGAAAAGATGGCATTTGTGCAACACAATGGTTGCAAAGCAGTTGTTACATCCATGTACCTAACAGGACTTTATCTGTAGGCTCAGGTAACAAGAAGAGACTTAATATTCTCTCTTCAATTTTAGTGGATTTTAGGATATTGCTTTTTGCAGATTGAATCCCTCTGGTAGCTGGCTACATATTAGTCATTTCTCAGGAAAGGAAAGGAAAAAAACCTGTTCTTTGAAAGTGTGTATGTGAAAAGCTGCAACAGCAAGAAGAAAGCAATATAAATAAAATCCTTTGTTAAAAAATCCCTGCAAAACTAGGTGGTACAGGTGACAACTGGTAGATGTCAACAACTGACCACTCTTAACTTTCAACTTTGAAACAAATATGATCTTAGAAGAAAGCTGTGGCTACCTTGAATTGCTGCTGCAAGTTACAAACAAAACTTTGAAACAGAAACCCCCTGTGAGAAACAGAGAGCTCGCTGTCACCTTTGCAGTGCTGTTACTTGGTGTCCTACGTGTTGAACGATGCTGAGAATAGGAGCAGGAGAACTGGAACTCATTTCAGGTTGCAGCCTGATTTCACAACATATCTACCTGAGATATGAGGAGCATACCTGGCATACTTTGACATGGTTGCACTGTTAGGAAGCAAAATGTGCTGTATAAATTAGTAGAAACTCCAGAGCTATTACTATTGGGTTACAAGACTATCAGGCTACAGCAGGGATCAGACATACAACCACCTCTTTTTCCAAAGGCTGCTTCGTAGATTTTAAAGCCATCATGCCCTCTTCAAGTTTCTCTGGTCTGGCTCTTGTACAACAAAGAACAATTATATTATCCTTTTGCTCCTGTGCTGATTCAGTAAATAGCATTTGACAAAAACACTGCTGCCAAATCTATTGAAAAGTGAAGAGATGATGGTAAATAAATTTCTGAGGGCTAAGATTGCTGCTGATGGCCACTAATCTATTTCAAGTGGATTCTTCCCCAATGCTTACCTGACTGTAGAGGGATCGATACCTTAAGGTCTAGGAGATTTACTCTTTTTCAGAAAACATGGTTGAAAAAGAAAATTAAAGAGTTAGTGGATGTGAAGGATTAGTGATTAAACAAGGGCTTCTATTGAAAAGAACCAGTAAAAAATTAATTTTGGTTTAGAAGAAATAAATTAAGAGCCTATTTTGAGCAACACTCTTCCTTATACAATTATCCATGTTTATACAGAAATAATTAAAATCAATGTTTTGATGCTCTGTGTATTCACAGATACTTCATCTTTCCATCTTTTAAATAATGAAGAACAATCCTCCTCCAATCTCTTCTGGAAACAGTTTTCTAATGAAATTTTTTACTCTCTTTTTTACGATTATTAAAGTAAAGTAGCACTAAGGTAACAACTCATTATGAGAAGCTGTATGCATTTCCTGGTAACTTAGTGGAATTACATTTGAGAAATCTGGGGTTTATTTAACCACTCTGTTTTGGACCCTGGTGAAACAAGTTCTTAAATATGTACATAAACCTCACTCTGTATTTAACATATCTAAGATCTGAGCTTGTGGTTTAAATACTCAGGAAAACATTGTTAGTATGTAAATGTGCATTTCTGAATCAAATCTTCTCATCTGAATAGAGAATTAACAGTTGAATGTTTCTCATTCAGAGGCTGACTCTCCAGCAAATATCTCAAAAGAAGATTAAGCTGACTGAGATTAACTTTGAAAATTCCTGGATTTATACACACATGTACAGTTTACAGCATATTAATAAGTATTGTTTTTAAAATGTGAAAAATGCTTCATGTGAAACAAATTAACTGTGCATGACGAAGGCAGACTTACAAATTACAGTTACGTGCTTCTCAAAACACTATCTACCTGCCTTTCCTTGGTTTCCTCTTAAATCCTCAACTTCTCATTATTTGTGCTTCTAACGAGTAACTAAGATCAATAGTTTTACATAATTCATATTTCAAATTCTACTGCATTACCTACAAGAACATTATTTTGTATCTGAGTAACACAGGTCAGACAAAACCTTGTATTTATATCTTTTTGTACTTGCATGAGTGTCATCTATGTTAAGAGAGATATGCATGCATGTGACGTGAAACAGGGAACTTGAAGGACAAATTATCCTCTGCACTAAGCTGATGACTTCAGTAGTTTGTCACATTTTTAAAAAAAGTTTCTGTGTGATAACATCATCAGAGGGGTCCAACTCAAGCGACAGGATGGAATTAAGCAAATTGTTTACTTACAATTACATTAAGAGGTTAATCTTTTTTTCTGTAGTTACACAAATGTCTCTCAGACATCAGTGTGAAACTGAAGTTTGTAGGATCCAGCATAGGGATGTTATTTATAAAACAAATCCTTCTTTGTCAACAATAGACAGTATACATTTACTACATCCAAAAATAGCATCCCTTGTGTTTTTAATCATTAACACTCTTGCAACTTGTTGCAAATGGTGAATCCTGCACCTGTGCTGGGGCTTGTCAAAGCCTCCATCCACTTCACCCAGCTGCAGGAGCAGGTCCCCTTTGAAGGATCAGAAGCAGGACAGTACAGGCAAGCTCAGCTTACCACTTTGCTCTACACACGATAAATTCAGATAGACTAAAACGATTACTTCTCTGCTACCATGTCTAAAGAATCTTTTCAGCCTGACAGAGCAGGAGGAACACAAGGATGCACAGGCATCGGTTGACCCTGAGCCTGGCTGCTCTCTCAAAGGTGCCTCACCAACATTTCCTGACCGCACATCCAGCTTCTGCAGAGATACGCCTTACTATCAGTTATGTGTTTCTGAAGGAAACATGACTGGAAAATTAAGATACTCCCCCTCTACACTCCACGAAGGTGACTTAATGTTAAAAGACGCCACAAGTTTTGTAGAAGATGTTTCCATCTGCCTGTGTACAGGTGCAGCTCTCTGACAACCGGCAGCGCCAGGGTCCTGCAGCACCTGCTGCACGCTGAAGATGATATGATGAACTTTCATTCATTTCCACCTGCTGTGCCCTGACAAAACTCAATTTCCACATCCCTCTGAGTCGCTCCGGGCCGGAGGACAGGGCCCTCTCTGGGAGGGCAAGGCGGGCCGAGGGGGAGCGCTCCCGTGGGCGCCCGGCCCACCTCAGGCACGTCCAGCCTGGCACAGAGCTCATGTGCCGCCAGGTGCCCCAGCACCTCTGCAGGTCAGGCCCGTATGGCCAAAGACATTTAAGCTGGACATGTGCATTTAACTTTTCAAACCATGTATTTTTACTCTGCTCATGAAAACCAAAGATGACATTTAGGTAGGTACTTCTGCTGCTCCAGCTCCAGCGCTGCAGGAGGCATGGCTGAACTGCACACTTAACTAACCAACACTTCCACTGCACGGTTCCTCACAAAACGTCCCCAGTCATCAGCCATAATTCAGCAGCTCAATTCGCCTACCTGAATCCATCCCTTCATAAAAACACATAAAAAAAAAAAAATCTAATAAATGTTGACACACTGATGTAAAAAAAACCCCAAACATTTCCGTCTGTGACCAGAATTATCACTTTTTTCCTGTTCCTACAAACAATAGGCCTTTTTTTTTTTCTTGGAAGAATGAATTTGGTTATTTATATGTCCTCAGTTGGCATACCAAGAGAGAAATGTTAGACTTAAAGCGTGTGGCACTTGCAGAAGTATTTTTCAATTTTAGCACGTTAGGCTGAAGAGCAAGAGAAGACATCCCCGTGACAGACAGGGAGCCAGGCAGGGAGCAGCACATCACTTAGCACTGCTCCACAGGGCTTCAACCCATGCAAAAGAGATCTGGCCTTATGCCGCTCCTCTGTCAAGGACTGTATTTCACACTTTATGAATCTGATTTTCTCTTCCTGATGAGTACGTTATATATTTTTTCCCAAGATAATATACATTATACTAATACATGCACAGTCTACTGCAACTTATGTTCAATACAATTTCTATCATATACATATACATGGGCACAGATAAGGAAAAATCCCCATTTATGTAGGCTATGAGAATGTATGAGAAGAAAAATGACAAGCAGAAGAGAGGAGGGAGGGAGGAAGGAGGAGTACTCTAGCAAATAACAATGTATATTAATGGTCAGGCGCCATCAAGTACCACATCTGATAGAGTTTGTCTACTATCTCTAACAGCCAATGGCAATTTCAAGCGATTTATCGTCACTGAACGTCATGCTTTACAAAGGATTTTCAGGAAGTTTTGGGACATCTACTCCACTGGAAAAATATTTGTTTGATTTCATAAAAAAACAGCGGAGCTCAGTTACGCGTTATAGCTCAACAGCAAGAAGTCTTTCAGGTTTCCAAGGATATATTTGAAAGCAAGAGAAATTTGGTTGTCAATAGCCAATAGCTATGACCTTGTTATGAAACTTCACAGGGATTAAAATATCAGCACTGTATATTCAGTCTATTCAAATTTCTTCTTTTATCCTCAGTCACATGAAGAAGTAAAACCATCAGTGACATGAATAGTAACTATATAAGGAAAAACATAATAGGACATGGATTATTAACAAAAGACAGTTGAAAGCCCCACTTCACATGAAAAGATATTACCTTGCTCTTAATCATGAGATGGTCTTTGCACAGGCTAATTGTATAATATCTTCAAAAACAAGAAGCATATTTGAAAAATGCCCTTTTACAGATGCCACTTTCATCATCCTATGCAGAGAGGAACAGGAACTGAGGTTTTGCAGCAATCTGAGCAAATACATGGTCAGTTTTCTTTCAGAGCAGATTTTCATCTTGGAGGGAAAAGCACAAGTAAAATTCTAAGTAAGAAAAGCTTTATAAAAAATTTGCCAGACATTTAGCAAAATAAAGAAGTTCAGATAAGAGTGGAACATCTATTATGCATAGCTAGAAAGATGTCTGCTTCAATCTGCAGGCCTCCATATGACCACTCCTAAAAAGAGCGCCAAGGGAAGCACAGAAATCTATTCCCTCCCAAAATATTTCTGGGAGTGTAACGGTACTTGCAGAAAATGCTTCCATCAGACTGTCCTAAGGCACCCTTTAAGCGATCCCACCCACAACAAGCTTTCTTTCATTTCTAAGTGCTCACAATGTGTACCAGTGGCACACAGGAACTCACAGGAGAACCGCGCGGAGGCTAAGCTGGCTAGGGGACACGACACCGCGCTTGGAGAAAAGCAGAACATTGCTGCTGGATGTGTATGCAGCATTTGAGACAACGTCAAGCTGGTGAGATGCTGACGGTCATGGGACAGCAGAAGAACAGAGGATTAGAGGAGGAAATTGGGTTGCTGAACAGTGAAAATGGGTAAGGGTTATGGACAATGCACAGAGCAATGCAGTTAACTGCACGGAGGCTTTGAGAAGAGCAAGGCAACAGGGAGACATGGGGCTCTGGATAATACAGGGGAAGGCAGCAACTGCTGGTCATGGGCTAGGCTGAGGCAATGCCTCTGTGGAAGACAAAGGACATCGAGAGGAGAGGCAAAGGCAGCACTGCCCGTCCCCATATAGAGAAGGACAACATGCAAGATGTGACAAGATGAGTGGTATGCCAGTATATATAAATACTGTTGAAAATGCCAACTAACTGCAACCAGAGCTCTCTGTAACCAAAATCAGCGTCAACCAAGTTCTTACTAAAGATATACCTGTGGAAAAAGTAAAAAATAATTGTGTAATTTCCATTTTGGTTTGGAGTGACCGCTTTGTTTTTTTAATGGAGGTAAATTAAGCTGGGAACGTACTTAAAAAACCATAACCTTGAACATAAAATGAAAAAAGAAAAAAAAAATCCCAACCTCACTTTTTTCCTTGTCATTTTATGAAAGACAGCACAGTAACTTTCCGTCTCACCCTG